ACAATACACCCGCTGCTTAAGCTTTGTACCCTTACAACACAAACAGAACTGTTGCGCCGCCCGAATCTGTAGCCCGGAAACCTTTGATTCAGAGAAAGCGCATTTTTGGAATGTTGCAAGAGAACGGATGCCCCGTTCCATTTATCAAAAAGTACGCTACCATCCCGTTACGTTTGGAAACCACGATGAATGTATCAACAAAGACGTATTTCTCTCAGTTTCATTCTAAGTTGATGCCGCTTTTCAATTACTGAAGAGAAGACTTAAGCATAGCGTCCAAAACCTACCCAGCCGCCTACCCGCGTGAAGTCGCGCAGACTGCTCCATCTGCAACACAACACCCGAAGGACAGACTCTCGGTCCAGTCCAAAGCATATATTCTCTGTCAATTTACTTGCATCTGTGGCGCAAGGTATATTGGACACACAAACACCTGTTTGTCAAAACAGGTAGCAGAACACCACCCCTGGTCGCTGGGAAGATGATTGCCTAGAATCATCAACAGCGCTACCATGGAGCACTTACTCCGGAGAGGACATGAAATCCGAATAACGGACACGTACAGCGTTTTCTACTCCTTGCCGGTGCGTCACCCTAAAGCCCTTAGAAAGTGTCTAGTAAAGACGGCTGAGACCATTGTTATTATGCAGTTCCAGTCTACTCTGTGCAAGCAGAAAGTCCTAGACCAAGCGCTTTTCTAATAGTGGTCGCGCGGCTGTTCCTTGCTATATGAACAAAACAGTAATGCCACCATATCAAGACTGCGCCAAACCTTCAGCTGCTTCGGCTGTCCAGAGACAATTGTAACTTGCAATGGCACGCCATTCACTGCGGAAACTTTTACAGAACACGGCAAGCAATGCGTCGCATAGAACATTCGCTCGCCGCCGTTTCACCCACAGTCAAATGGCCAGACACAAAGGTTTGTCGATACTTTCAAGTGAGCTCTCCACAAATCAAACGAGGAGGAACGTATAAAGAAGGTGGTTAACCGGTTCCTTCTCCTCTACCGATCAACACCGAATTCACAAGCGCCGGACGGAGTTTCTTTAGCACAGGCTATGAATAACCGAAAGCTTCGCATGCCTGTCAACACCATGCGCTCGCACTCGCAGTTATCTGTTGGCGAATGGAACCGCAGAATGAAACAGGATTTTAACCGGCGGCATGGAGCAAAGAAACAATCGTTTACACTGAGACAGAAAGTGCTAGTACATGTCTATCAGGAAGGCCATGTGAAGTGGACACAAGGTACGGACAGCAAGCGGCGCAGAAATGTCAGGTATGACGTGCTCTTGGGCGCACAGATCTGGGCATCGCATGCAAACCAGTTACGACCAACACTGTGTCAACCAGAACAAGCCAGACCTACCGGTCTCCCGTTCGACTTATTGCTGGAAAGCTTTAACTTGCCGAAAGAAATCGCGGACGACTGCTCACAGCCAAGCAGGGAATCCAGACGACGGAGGTTGGAACTCAGCTTTTGGGTAATTGTTCAAGGTGATGGACCAACTGGCAGAAAATACCGTCCAGAAGGCTGCAAGTTAATCCTAGGCTATCATTGTATACCTCGACGATTTCTCAGGAGAACAGGTGCCAGAGCGAAAGTAAGAATTGCCTGGAAAATCCACTATTTTAAGGATTAATCAATTATTAACGATTATCGCATCCAGTTCGAACGCTCGAGAATGTTCCAATTTCTGCACGTGACTACCGACCACCTGCCATCTCAGCCAAATCTATGGGAACCACTAACGTTTGTAGTTGACCTCTCATTCCAGGGAATCTCTTGTTTACTTTGCCTTAGTCCTTTATACACTAAGTGCCTCAGGCTCCCCATCGAGTAAGGCGAAGCTGCCCAATAGCAGGCCAGACTATCTCTGGAGTTGCGAATTATGCATGGTCTCTCCAATAGTCAAGATCTCAGGTGATATAGCTGGTGGCTACGATTAAAAGAATGAAGAGGGTAAAATCCGCTTCACTGGAGGAAAATATAACGGATAATAAGCCCCAGCCCTCTCAAAAAGCCTCCGCTTCAGGCTTGGAGAAGTAGGTTAAAAACTTGCTATAACCGAGTCACCTCTAGCTTTTCAGGCCACATGTGACTCAGATACGTCTAAATCAATAAGCTCAAAATCGGATTGCAGTAATTGCGTTCATTATCTCGTTACACCACTAAACTGATCTGAATTTTCATAAATAAGTTGACGCCAGTGTTGTTTGGATGGGATTGTTGCAAAAGTCATTCGGAAATTTAGGTAGTTAGTTAGGTGCAAAATAACTAAGGAAGGTAAACCTGCATGTACCCAGGACTAAATCTTTTAAGAGTTCAATCAAACTGCTCCATTTGTTTGTTAATTATGAACAACCGAACATCAGCCCATTCGCTTTGTTGAGTAATTTGGATTTAAGGAAAAAACAGTGAAACGGTGCCGTCTATAAGTAATTTGAACACCGAAATGTGAAAACAAATATTAGCTGATGCTAGCATTTCGTATTACCTCGTCAGTACCAATAGAATAACAGGGAAATCCTTTTATAAGTCTTATAGGGCACAGTCAAGCCAAATTTATTTGTTGTTGTAGTCATTATTGTGGGGATTAGGACTACGGCAACGGCAGGTTGACAACGAATTGCTTTTCGGCACACAAAGTTGGTCTAATTCGGCTTGTTGCGACGGCCTCGGCAAATCGCAAAAGGCGTGAATTAGTATGACGCTACAAGACTCGGAACGCCAGTAAGGGATTAACCCGGTGGCGAGTCTCCAAGATGTGCCTGCCTATGAAGGACGATTGCGGCTTACACGAGCAAGTATCGTCGGAGGTGGGTTGAATGACTTCGCGCTGAACCCAATTTGGTAAGTGTTCCTTCACCCTGGAATCTAAAGCCCGTCCGGTCCTGCCGATGTAACTGTTGCCGCAGTCACACACGAATTGTTAAACACAATGCGTCAGTGGCTTAAGCTTCTGGCTAGTTGGCATTTGCCTCTAGCGGTCATAGGTTCAACACCTCCGCAGGAAACCCGGGGAATACGTACCACTGACAAGCCTCGATAGGGCTAAGCACGTGTGGTGCCTTTCCGGACTAGGCTTTACTATGTAGCTTGTGAACTACTGAGAAGAAATGCTTACCAGAATTACAACTAAAATCCTGCTACTCGTAATAACATAAACATAAGCGCATTTGGCACCGACGGGTTCGTCTTCCTTTACTGAAAGTAACGCAACTTTCGGGTTCTGTTGATAATTACCACCTCCGCAGCACATTACATACTCTGAATTGCCGAGACAATGCGTTTGGTTGTTCTTCTTGCTGCGGTGTCATTCTTGAATGGTAGCTCGATGTCCATATGGTTTCTTTGGGGCTGGCAACACCATTTCTTTGGGCAGTCTAACCTCGCTATGTTTGTCTATGAATAGCTTTGGTTAGCCATTCTCCATAAGCGTTTTAGTGATCAGCTCAACCTCCTTAAGCAGACAGTCATTAGAACAGATACGTCTGGCTCGAGTAGATAATGTTTTTATCAGCCCGCGCTTGTGTGCTCACGGTGAGAAACTAGTGAAGTGTAGGTATTTGCCAGGTCACGTTGGTTTCCGGTATACAGGTCGCTGATCAGCCCAGTTATCCCCGCGGCTCATGAGAATGTCGAGATACGGAAGACGCCCATTCGATCCGAAATCAAAACTCACCTTCAGGTTAGCGTGAACATTAATAAGTTGGTCTACTAATTGTTCGATTTGCATCTTCGTGGAACCGAAAACAAGGATATCATCTACATATCGTCTGTAATACGGCAGCTGAGAAATCTCCCTGCTTAGTTTCCTCTCAGGTATCAGCATGAAATAATTTTCACTACTTGAAGTTTTTAGTGGTTGCGTGTCAATTGGTTATAAGAGGCCGTTTTTACTCTCCGGCTTAAGAAGCACACAAATCGCATAACCGAAATGCAATAAATTCAAGAAAGTTGATGCTGGAAAAGGTACTCGTTTAATTTTGGCTTAGGCTTGCCACTTTCGTTAGTCTCTCGACAAATTAATCATGCTTGCTATGACAATGCTTAGTTCATTACGTAAGAAACCATGAACCGTAAAAGCAAAACAAGTCTTGTGCACCTAAATAGTTTCATTTTCGGCATCTGCACTACTTTTTGCTGATGAATTGACAAGTGAGATGGAGGAAAACACAGGAGTATAGAGCAATATAAAACATATACGCCATTGCCACTAAATTAGCCGCTTGCGTGTCACACTTATGGCTCGCTGATTCAACAAACAAAAGTGACCAATTTTGCAAAATTGTGTTGTGATGCGAAGAAGTGCGAGAAAATAACGTTGGAGGAGTAAATAAGCAAGACAGCGTCCTTGAAAGATTGTTTTAGACTACGTGGAAAATCTATTGCAGATGTCCTTACTTCCAGAAACAATTAAATCAACAACGGGAACCTATTGATAAACCGCTGTTTCTGTGAACGCAATTTATCGATCACAACAATGAGATGTACGTTTCTGGAAGCAGTTTAATTAAAATGATAATAAAAAGCTATATACAATGGGGTGAATACATGAAATGCCAAACTAGAAATAAACTGACCGGAATTAAATATATCATCAAGTTTCTCATAAACGAAAATATCTCTTGTTACAGGTATGTCAGCCAAAAATGGGGAGTTCAAAATCCCGTCCGGAAAATGTTTACTGGAGTGTTACAGTGTCAACGACTAGTGCTTGGTAACATATGGCTAGTTCACTATTATATATTTTAAGCTAACAAGGATGAAATGCCGAATATATTAGTAAGGTTTATTAGCAAAAAGTTGTACTGAAATGACAGTTACGCTCAGAGATATATGATAATGGTTTGCAAAACAACGCGCTTCTCGGTTAACCTTAAAATCCAGGAAAGCAACTTCAATAACAACTTAGTAAAGAAAAACCGCACATAGCATGAAATCTACCAACATACGTTATTATTTTATTAGTAAAGAAGCGAGGAAAACTCACACGACAAAAAGAATGAGCCAACGGTAGGGTTGGTCGTCGAACTCTGACAACAGTTGAACCACCGTTCTCAGATACGGAATCAAAGCGACTTTCCGGCTGCTGCTCGTGTATTCCCTGATTCCTTTGTAAAACATGTTACAAATGATTGGGACCAGGTGGTTTGCTTTTATATCCTTTGAAATCTTTAGTGACTTCGTTACGCATTTTGCAAGGCGACTCAGCCATATCAGTGATTGGTTACATTCACCATCGGTCTCAAGCAGGAGTATTTCCATGAGCAACAGGTGATGTATTACCAGGTTTTCATCTACGACATTGAACAGTTCTTCGTAAGCTTGAGCAACAGATTCACAAATATCTTTTCGTTTAGCCTAAAAGTGTTGTTATTAATCATACAGACAATCAGTTCACTTTTAGCGCGCAGGTGCTGAGGAGGAGCAGTAAATCGCTTGATAAGTCAGCCAACTGTTCCAAGTTACGCGAAGCAGCAAATGAAGAGACCATATCAGAAGCCGCTTCAATGTGTTGTACTACACAAGTCTGAAATCGTAGTCAGTGTGCGTTACCATTTTGTGTTTGTTGGTACTTGCGCAGTAGACCATGTAACCGCTCGTTCATTTCGACACCTGAAACATAGACAGAAGCCAAAAAACTTACATGGATTTCGGTTCAGTTTACTTTCACACAAGTGTACAGTAATGCAAAGTATAAACGTCAAACGGCATGAAGGCAAAGCTATGTAAAGGCAAGACATTTCCACTTTTATAAGTTTTGTTGTCTTTTATAAGTTTCAGTCATTTTGCTTTGTCAATTGGCGTATATTTTAGGCAAATTTTGGACGCAGTGGTCGCAAAAGTTGCTGGTATTATGAACAGTTTGCAACGGTTATCTTTGTCTTGACGGTTATTGGAATTGTACGGTGCGAATCGCTGTGATTGTTTGGATGGGCTGCCAGTAACAAAACTTGATGGACTGCACACCGCTTCACAACGCAACTATAGTTAAGTGATTACAGTGGAAGCAATGTGGTATTACGCAGACACAAAATTCGTAAACAGTTGCACATAAAAGCCCTAGATAAGGTAAAAAGCTTGTACGCCATCTGCTTTTACCAGTACTATATCGTATTGTGAATTAAAATGTCGCATTTTTCATCCCAACCTGGCAACAACAACAACTGCGTAATCTCGCTGCGTCGTGGACTGCGCAAGAACAAGCACCAATGCGTTGAAGAGTCGCACCGCCATATATATTAACAAACATTACGTATATTCTGGGTGATTTGTAGTAACAAGAAAGATAATATTATGAACTAATAATTTTCAACAAGATGCCGAGTGATGTTTATATTAGCAAGGCTACTTCGCCGTCTGTTTGGGATCTGTAGTGTAAAATATTATGAAATTACAGATCCACCATGTACTTAGGCTAAGTAAATAGCCTACCTGTAACATTAGACACGTTTCCTTAAGACAACTATACCTGACGCTTTTGGATCTCTTCAGACTACCAGTCTTGAATGCTACTGGCGTTTTGAAAAAAATATCAAAAACTTCTGAATAATCTGTCTTCTAAAAATTATTCAAAAACCAAGAACTCAAAACGCGCAGATCATTCGATCATTCTTTCTGTTGTCTTCGTCGCGCTTTTGTATTTGCTTGTCACTAGATGTCCTAACTCTCCCTTAAGTTCTACTGGCCAACACGAGCAATGTTTTCGAGGATCGGCGCAGTCAACGAGGATCCTGACACGAGCGTTGGTCGTATCTCCGCTGGACGAGGGCCGCTTCTTCGGATGACAACCGTCGTTTCTTCGTGGGACAGTGATTATTTTTTCGTGGGATGATGGTCGCTTCTCCATGAAACGATCGTCCTTTTGACGCGGGGAGGGGTGCGGCAATGGAAGAGACGACTCCCAACTACACTGTTTGACAACATCAGAGGTTGAGGTCCTGACGGCCATTTTTTGCGCTAGCCAGTTATTTTTTATTCCAACGAGCCCGCTCCAAAATGCTCGCCACAATACACCCTGCCTTACACACAATAAATATTATATACCAAACAGCACAGCGGATCCGTTTATCCGTTTCCGAACACGAACAGGTGCTCCTTTGCATATGAATACCTTCTACGAATTTCTTTCCCCACTATTTTTTAGTCCGAAGTCTTCCTGGCTCGGACTTCTAGGAGGGCAGCTCTGTAGCAACCCAAAAGATATTGCTTATCTTATTTACAAATTTTTACATAATCGGACATGATTAGTTTGGTTTTACCGCCGACCCTACGGCCATTTTTACCTACGTCCGACTCCGCACTTGTGTCCACGATGAGTTCCGACACTGACGTGAGCTCTACCCACTTCATCCGTCCACGTCTCCTTGTAGCCCGTCGAATACAGTCCGCTGTGTCCGACTCCAATTGTTTTCTGCTATCCGCGCTTAATTTCGTGCACTGGCTCGGAATAGTAGTTACTAGTCTTACATCTTACAAGTTTGCAGAGGCCACCATTTTCAGCAAAGTTTAGATGGCACCTTATGTCAAGGGGATATTCGTGCAATAAAAGATTTCTTTCGGATAACATGAGTGACCGAAATATGTACGCTGGATTGCATGTTGAATCATCTGCCCGAACCAATGAGGTACTTTTGTGGTACATGTTGGGGAATCGGTAAAAGGTGCTTTAGCTTACCCTTAACATTTAATATCTTTGTCTTTTTGCTGCCAGTAAATACCAGATTTACTAAACGAATACTGATTCCTAACTTGTGATTGCGCTGCACAGAATGCAGAAAGACCACGGCGCACATTTTCAGTGACAGTAAGTTAGTCATATCTGCCTTTTACTAGGGCGACAAGGGGCATAAAAAAGCAGACACCCAAGATGATCTGACGAGCCCTCCTGCTAAATAAAATTACGACATTATTAGGGAGCAAAGACTCATATTTATAGACTGCCTGTGTTAATGATTCATCAGCTTACTTAACAGCGTAGCTATAACATCAATTTGTTCTCTATTTGCATTTTGTTTCTAGAAATGACCAATAACATGAAAGTATTTGACCGGGACCGGGATTCTAACCAAAGTGTTATGTGCGTAATTTGGTGAGGGTGGTATGGTACGCCGTGCCAAAAGTGGACTATGCCGCTTATTGATGTTGTATGGTGTATAATGAACAGTTTATGCGGAGTTAAGGTACGTAGTAATATAAAAGTTTGTGGATTTTAACACTATTGTTGTTGTTCAAGTGGATAACGAAGTGCAGTTTTGAACCTTGGCGCGTCGTTGGAAGCTGTTATTATGGTGGACGATCTTCCTACGTTTAATCGTTTGGTGAGATTTTATTGGCGAAACTTTGCGGACATGGAATAGGATGTGATGAGATTTCAGCAGGCTACTGCGACTGCGTTTTATAAGCGGCCAGTGGTTACTCGAACTCGGTACCAACGCATGACGGGGGATGATTTGCCAGAGGGGTATCGATACCCATCGCACTGTACAGTGTGACGCCATACGTGCCACCTGTGGAGCTGTCGCTTGCAACCCCCATCTTGACTCGGTTTCTGCCATACGCTCGTAAGCAGATGTTGAGACACTGGAGAAATGCGGGGATAAGCTCAATGTATGATACGGGCAGGCACTGGGCGTTGGAATGCACCCGTGGTGCAAAGTGGCGGCGGTACAAGGTGATGGATGACGGTTGTGAATGTGAATTTCACCTACAATGGCGAACGCCATGTGCGCACATGTGCCACGTCACCGCCATGAAGAGGAAGCCTATTGCCAGTATTGTAGGAGATTGTAGATAGAATGCTCCATGCAGTCGGTCGATTGACTGCTCCCCGGACGCTGCAGGATTAAGGGATGTGACCTTTGATGCGTGAGATGTCCTTGAGGTAGGCGCGGTGGACAGAGCGACAAAACTTCACAAGACGGAGGAGGTGATGGCGGAACTGAAAACGCAGGTTTGCAGCCTTGGATCGGCGCGGCACGACAAGGTACTGAGGAGTCTTAGGAGGCTGGCGGAGTTGATGTCCGAGGATAGTGATGTATCCCTGTACTGCACTACGCGGCACTGCAGTGACCCCATTCCGCTGGACGTGGAAGACTGGCACGATCGAGTAATGGTACGCTCGTGGCACAGAACGGCGATATGTGGACTGGCAAATGATGGGGACAGCGAGCCGTGCACAAGCTCCGTGCCGGCTAACGATGGTGTACCTAACGCGCCGGCGGTTATTTATTCAGGGGACGACAGCAGAGAGAATGGGAAACCTGCATGGTGTGGCTCTAGAAAACGGAAATCTCCACTTAAACTGCGAGTGACGGAGATTCCTGCGCAATACACCTCTGCACGTCTTTCAAAATTTCGGCGTCTCGGAACCACCACCTCTGCTCGTTCTAAAGCGGAAAAAAGGAGGCGCAGGATAACGGATCCGTCGGTATTAGACATATGCGCATTTTGTCTAAAGGAAGAGGCTAACGCAACGGTTGGTAATGAAATTCAGTGGGTTATGTGTGACGTATGCCAATGTTGGTTCCATCAAAGTTGCACGGCATACAACGGCGAAGAGGAGTATACCTGCCTGCACTGTGACCACTGAATGGAAGGCTAAGGCGGTGCGTGAAGGTCCATGTGAATGGCAGCCATTTGGTAAGGTATACGTTAACCAAAATTTCCAACTAGGCTCCCTTGCAGTGAATCATTGCCGCCGTAAGGCGCAGTCCGGCGATTGATATCCACTGAAGTACACTTTCCGTACCTAATTTTTACGATGACATGTCATCGTAGAATGAGTTCCCGCGGAAGAGGTGTTTGCACATTATCGTCACACGTGAAGTATCCGTTACCAATGATGTTAATGATTACGTGCAGGACATATGCGTTGCAGCATGAACCACGCCCCCTACGGATGAGATTACGATGGGTAGGTTGCTCACTTAACCACGGTAACCATTTGTACGCGGTTATTCCCATTTGCAGCGGTGCGGAGGGAGCAGCGGTATGGGTCCTTATCACTTTTACCACACAGCGCTTCTGGTATACCGTTGCACACAGAAGGATATATGTCAGGTTCGGTTCCCATGCAGTGCGCCGTGTCATCTCAGATCTCCGTGTTGCACGGTAAGTTGAGAATCACATGGACGTAAGTTTGTTGTAAAATGATGCGGTGGCTTGCTATGAATACTTAGGAAGATTGACTCCGTTATGTGTATCGCACCTATTGCCACATGTTTTCAACATTACCATGTTCCTTAGTGTGAATGTGTTGTGTACGCTAACTAATAAGATAAGTTATGGTCTAAGGTACGTAAGTAAACATCCAAAAATTAAGTGAAATCAAGACGAACACATGAACTAGGCTACAAGCAGCGGAAGTAACGCGACAGTGGTCTAAGTGGCTCAGACAAATAAGTGTATCATCGCTTTGAAATGCCTTTAGATGGGAACATTTGGTAAGAGGAACCATGGAAGCAAAGGAAAAGGAAGGAGCAGTAAATGTGA